TCTGTCTGTTGTTCTCATTTTTGTTTGGCTAGAAGAGTACTACAAGATATTGAACTTTTTTTAGGGGGTTTGCTTTTTATCTTTTGCTTATGACAATTAAGCAAGCAAGGGCAAACGGTACAATAATTAGCACCCATGACAGGCTTTCCAGATGGCGCTGTGGTTCTCTGTTGCTCATCCCACTTTGGGACAATGAATGGAGATTTGGCAGAGGCAGCTGGGGAAAGTCCTACAATCTTGGGAGATGAGGGCTGTAAGCTTCAGAATTTGGGAAGTGCCAGCCCCTGCCTCAGTCTGATCTGGGCCTGAGATACAACCTCAGGGGGACAAGGTAAGACCTTAACCTCCATCTCTCTTCAGTCACTGTGGCATTCCTTGGCTGGAAGACCACTATCTCCTTGTGTGATCAGGGTTCAGGTCTAAGCTAAGTGGTTGCACCTGCATGGTGTGGTGGTCAAGCGACTTGGACTGGAATATGGTGAGCTTAGGTTAAACTTAGGATATATTTTTAAGGAAGATCAAATCGTATCATACTAGCTCCCACATACTTTCTCCAAAAGAGACTTGTAGCTGGCTCAATTACATCTGTTGATGTGTATTTCTCTGTCAGTAAGTGGTAAGGATTAATATATATTCTTAAAAGAATTAAATTGCTTAGTTTCTTATACAGGAAGCATACATGTCTATAATATTTTTCTTATCCCAGCCCTGTAAATCATCGTCTAGTCAACTCTGACCAAATAGAAATGTGACTTATCTGAATGATGACTCAAATACCAAAGAAAAAGGAGGCTTTGTCTGTATAATACCTATAAAATAAACTTAAGAAAATGTTGACATTACCACCAGGACTAGTCCCTAAATCTCAACCCCTCCCTCCCCCATCACTCCACCGTTTTTACTTCATTCTTTTTACAGTTAGGAGCTTCAAAGATCTACTTTTAAAAGTAGACACCCCAGATGGTATTAATGATGGATTGCCTAACAAAGAATGATAGTTTAACCAATTGACATGCAAGAACCAGCCTCCAAAGGAACATAGTACAGGTGTGAAAGATTAGGTAGGAAGATCATGATGGAGGGAAAGAAAATTTTGCCTAGAAAGATTCATAAACTTAGAGTAAGAATGGACATACAGGGTGGAGGGAGGGCAGTCCGACCTTCCATGACATTCCTGCCACATCAGCCAACTTTGTTCCAAAATGTGTGATGGATGGAAACTAAACTTTCCTGATCCTCAGCAGCAGCCCAGGACCTACAGAGTCTGTTAATACATTTAGAGCTGGGCTGTCCAATAGGGTAAGTGCTGCCACATATGGCGACTGAGCACTTGAAATGTAACTGAAAAGAGACTCGCTGTGAATGTACAATACTCACCAGCTTTCAAAACCTGAGGTTGAAAAACAGAGTGTAAAATAACTCATCAGAAGTTTTTTATACAGATCACCTATTGAAATGGTAATATTTTGGGTGTATTGGTTAAATAACATTGTTAAAATTAATTTCACCTCTTTTTTCCCTACTTTTTAAAAGGTGGCTGCTGGGAAATTTAAAATTACACTTGTGGTTTGAATTACATTTCCACTGGAGAGCAGTGATTTACATATTTTGGCACTGTCCCTCCCTCTCACAGACCAGACCATGGAACACCCCCTCAGAGTTACTTGGCTTGTAGGTCGCAGGGATGGAGCGTCAGGAAATCAGATACCCTAAGAAATAAAGTGCAGAATGTCAGACGCTTAACCCACAGAAGAGTCCAGAGGACTTCGTGATGACTCAAAAGAACACGGGCAGGTCACCTCCTCATACTAGGTAACAACCTAGGGAGTTGTCTGTGCAATAGTGAGACAAAAGGAGCATTTCTGTTTCTATGTTTTTACCATTTCAAAAAAGAGTTTGGCATTGATTACATTCTATGATCCTCAGAAATAGTTTTGCTTTGTGTATATTCTTGTCCTTGTCAGGATCACAAATAATTTGTTTGCAGAGAGGCAGTGACTGTGTCCATTAACTTGACCCTATTGGTATAAACACGTGCCTCACCTGTTCTGACCCCTATCAGAACACTAAAGATGCAAATTAACTCTGAAGGACACATCTGGACAATGAAAAAAAAGAACCATGCTTGCAGACTGTCCGTGCAACATTGGGATCAGAAATGTTGTTCACATACATTTTCTCATTGAAGAATTCAGCTCAAGTTTTCATTATAGTGAAATTGACAAGTTTGAAAATAACAAAGGAAAACAAGACAATGACTGCATATTTACTACGGTAAAATATTCCAGTGAGTTTTAAAGTTGCTTTCAGGTGCTTAAGGAGATACAGGCGTCTCTCCCTTCTCCTTCTAATTTAGAATGTTAAAAGGCTAGAAAAATAAGAGAAAAGAAGGAGAAAGAGGTGCTTTTAAAAAACCTCTCCTCTAACCTGGCACTGCAGACCAGTATCTGGAAGGATGATTTCCCTGGACAGTGTGAACTGTGCATTACAATGTGGTGCCCAAAAGGGACAGAAACGAGGCTTATTCCACAGAAAGTTCATGTCCGTCATTAAAGTCAGACAAAAGCTGCATGAGCACAGCACATCCCAGACAATTATTCAGCCAGTGAAGTGTCATCTTGCTTTATATTTTTCCATTTCTCAATGATACTGCCCAGAGACGAAGCTGAGGAATTCGTCTAGCAGCTGGCTGCATTCTGCTCTAAAATGTTTTTTATATTAGATTTGCCCATCAATCTGTTTCCCAGTGGGATAAATTTTTTTTTCTTTTTTGTTGAAGAGGAAATACCAGTTATTTATAGCAACTGAAGGAAATAATGAGTGGTTGCAGGAGCCATGGAATAGCATGCCACCAAGTAAACAGTCCTATAAACAGTCATTTTCGACAACAGTAGCATGAGATGCTTAAGTGGACTGGGGCCCTAAGTTCGGTCAGGCCATCTCTGGAAAACTTACAGGCCATTCACTCAGACTTCCTTGCATAAAGGGATTTCAGTCAAGAGGTCATAAAGAAGTGCAATGGACAAGATGGGTCATTTTCGGTCATTGTTTCAGCCATCCTATCACTGGTTTCATAGCTATGACAGGTGCCATGTTAGGAACAACTTTCTGTGCTGTCATTTACAGTTGGGATTTAAACAGTGGTTTAGAGGATTTCATTTTTAAGAATACTGTCAACAACTTAACATTACTTTATTTGGTCTTTCTATTTTTTCCTCCTTTTCTTGGTTATAGCGGATAGAGGATGGAGCACTGAGAAATACAACTACCTAAGATGCTACTCGTCACTTTCTAACATTGTAGACAAAAGGGAGGAAGTTCTTTACTTCTATGGAAGACCAAACACAAATGAGGTCCTGTATAACAGAGTCAATGATTAATAAAAATTCATTTCTTAGTTTATAAAATAAGAACAGGACAAGTCAAAAATTCTTTTAAAATGTAAGTCACAATAACCTGTGTAGCTCAGTCCTATTCTGAGGTAAGATTACAAGGACTAAAGATTTTTTTTAAAAAGGGGGAGGAAGGGAGGGATAGATTAAGATCAAGACAGAAAGGAAAAGACAGCCACATGAGAGGTCTAGACACACACAAAGGGACAGATAGGCATTGACTGAACACAAAGTTTGGTGAAAAAAATAACCTCCACATAGCCATCACAGTGATCCTATGGCAATGTAAACCAGTTTGACACACCTCTGGTCAAAACCCTCCGGTTGTCACCTTCCTTATTCTGACCTACGAGGTCCACATGATTTTTTCTTCTCCCCTCCACAACCATTCCCATTCCCAGTATTCTATTAGAGCCAAAGTGGCTTCATTGCAGTTCCTCACATAGGCCAGGCATTCTGCTGCCTCAGGAACTTTGCTCTTGCTCCTCAGCCTGGAATGCTTTTGTCTACATGGAGTCTTCATTTCTTAAATTTCTTACCTACCTACAATTTCAACCTCCCACCCCACCACCACCTCAGGCATTCCCTAGCCCTTTGCATACCTTGGTTTTCACCTTAGCATTTATCATCTTGAATGTATACATTTTACTTACATATTTATGACACTTTTCCTTATTACAAAGTAAGCTCTATGAGGGATGGGAATTTGTGTGTGTATGTGTGTTCAGTATTGTATTCTCAGTATGTAGAAAAATGTCTTGGCATCATAGAAAGTACTCAATAAATACTTGTAAAATGAATAAACGAATCCTTTCTTTTTGGCCCCTCCCACAAAGTTGACGTCCAATCAATGTCTGTTGACCAGAACTAAACCAAGTTTTGCTAAATATGCATCCTTCCTTACTAGCAAGTATACTCTCCTTACCCAGCTCATCAGGTTGGAGGTGAAAACACACAGAAAACTCCAAATTGCCGTGAAAGTGTGAAGCGGTGTGCTTTTTTAAAGCTTATTTTGGTTGAGAGATTAGGACTGACTCACTTCCAAATGCATCCATTTCAATGATCTTTGCACTTATTTTACAGTGTGAATCTCCTTAACCCCTGCCTTTCCCACTTTTGGGGGAGTGAATATGGTTCTGAATCATATATATAAGTCAATCTGGAAAAGGTGTAGAGATATGATATTTGCATATGACTGCATATTTTCACATGCATATATATATCCACAATGGCAAAATCTCCAGGAAAGGCTAATTATGCTTAACAGCTGTTTTTTTTTTAAAAATCAAAACTTATTAGGTTATCCTCTAGCAACTTCACCAACACTCCACCAAGGTTTAAATTATTTTCTGGATGCCATCTGTTTTCTTTCTTATTGTGGTCATAATGAAATGTAGCCATGGCCCCACAAGCTACCCAGCTTAGCATAATCAGAATGTAAAGATATTTTGAAAAAAAATGTTGCTTTCTTACTATCACATACCTCATTTCATTCTTCAAATGGCCCACTTAAACTCTTGAAAGCTGACAACTTGAAAAATATCTCAAATGTCAAAAACAGATAGCTTACCCATCTTTCATCATTTTGGTGCACTGCAAGTCACCTACCAGGCATAATAATATTTGAAAAACCCAACTTCCTCGTTATGGATACTCCGTGAGAAAACATCGAAGAATATTCTCTTCTAATTTGTTCAATGTCTCCATGCAACAGTTGTAAGGAAACTGCTAACCCTGAAACAAACAAAAGATAACTGAGTTTAAAACAGAAGAATGGAAATAACAGCAACAGAAACTGATGTGCTTCAATAAGCCCAAATTTCAAGTATCATGTTTTAAACCAAGCACGATCTATAGGAATATTTTTTGGATGACGCTTTTCCAGCGTCAACACCAGACTTTTCCCATTAATAAGGATGTTCACAGCAACTGGAGAAGCCGAACACTCAGAAGAGAAAGCCTGGCTTTCAGCCCCCAAGCTTTCCCCTCCAGCCACCCTAAGGGGATCACATCCCAGTAGCAGCAATAGTCAGAGGTCACCTGACCCTAAAAGGTAGTGGTATCAAGATTGGTGTTTTAACTGTTTTAACTCGATAGGGTCTATGGATCATTACTCATTAAATATCAAAAGCATAAGCATTCATCTGAAGACACATTATAATTTAAGGATGTTAAGGATATTGATAGAGATTTTCTTGAAACGGAAGTCATAAAAGTGATTATAATAAAACCAAGAATGAGTAGAAACTCATGATGGCATTATTTTCTACTGAGGAGAATTTAGCAGGATGCAGGACACTTTGACAAACAAAAGGGAATTTAGTCAGTAAAGTAGAAAAATTATGTAGTGTTCCCCCTCGCCCCCCCCAATTATAGTGACACCACCACAATGGGCTATATAGAAGATGCTTGACATTTTTTTCATATATTATTTTTCCAATTCTCAGGTAAGAACCACAAAAAGGAAATGAATGTCACGTGTTTTTGAATGTTTGTATATATATGAGTATTTTAAAAATGCTACTTCTCTTTCAGCTTTTTAATTTTTCTTCCTTTTTACTTGTTGTTTTCAAACAAGAAAGACAAAAAATCCCTCACGTATATAAATGATAGAAAATAAAACCAAAGGTGACTTTTCAAAAAAAACTTTCAGTCACTGTTAACCTGAAGTCAATTTAAAGTTGAAACTGGACAGTGGAGTAAAGTAAATCTGTCCCCCAGCCTGGGTAGGGTGGCTCATGCCTGTAATCCCAGCACTTTGGGAGGCCGAGGCAGGTGGATTGTTTGAGTCCAGGAGATCAAGACTAGCCTAGGCAACACAGCGAGACATCATCTCTTCAAAAAATTTAAAAAAATTAGCCAGGTGTGGCAGCGTGTGCTTGCAGTCTTAGCTACTTGGGAGGCTGAGGCAGAAGGATTGCCTACGTTCAGAAGTACAAGGCTGCTACGAACCATGATTGTGCCACTGCACTCCAGCCTGGGCAATAGAGTGAGACTCCTGACTAACAAAAAAAAATCTCAAACCTGTCCCCCAAAGACACCAATCTACATCGTTACTTATCACCATCTTTTCCTCAGTAACGCACAGATCACATGCAAGTTATCACCCCACCAATAATTTACCGTATTACAATGCTGTCTAAAAGCAAAGGCAGAAGAGTGACAACAGCCATGCTGCAGTGAAAAAGAAATGCAAAACTTATTTGCGACATGTCTAGATGAGGATCTTTTTACTCTCCAATAATGGAGCAAATCAACAATAGCAACAAAAGAAGTGTTTTATTGGTTGGTTTGTTAGCTTTTCAATAGACTGGGTAACATATCAGAAAATTTTGTTTAAAAAAAAAGGCTTTAGGCTCAGAGAGCGACTGAAGCCTCTCCTGAGGTTCAAATCTGAGCTTCAAATCTGAGCTTCAAGAGGTGGGCTAGGGGGCAATAAGCAAAGCAAAGGAGGACAGGGACATGGCTTCGTGGTTGTGTCCTCATACTTCCCAGTGTGTGCCCCTAGCAAAATGCCTCAGAGAGCAGTTGTGAGAATTACATGAAGTCTAGCAGGTACTAAGAACATTCAGTTCACTTAGCCAGAGGTGACTTTTTAAAATAAATACATAAGCTGAATTCCATAAATTTCAGAGGATAAGATAATGAGAAAATAAAATACATTTGGTCAGAGACAACATGAATCCAGAAGAAAACTAAAGAAGATAACCAAAGTATGTTTTAGGGAAAGGCATAGATGCAGAGGGAGCAATGAACAGATAAATATGTTCATGTTCTTAAATCTGCATCTCTGTAGATCCTGGATGTTAGGCCTTTGCCAGATATACAGTTTGCAAATATTTTTTCCCATTCCACGGGTTGTCTCTTTAGTCTCTTGATAGATTCTTACATGAGCACAATGGTAGGATAGGCAGATGCTAGACACTGTGGGGAGGGAGGAAGGAGAGAAGAGGAACATGGCAATACTTTGGGTATCCGGTTCACTATCGGGCGGGGGGGGGGGGGGGGGGGGGCAGCCAGCAAGAAGCCCAAACTTCACCTACATGCAATTTATGTTGTAAATTCCCACTCAAACCCCAAAACTATGTAAAGAAAAAAATAAAATCTGCATCCTTCTTCTACCTAACTGCCCCTTATCTCCCTCCACTCCCATCCCCACCCCATTCACTCTGTTGGGTGACTGATGACAATAGACTGGAGGAGGGTCTGCCCTTCCATGGCCTCATGAGGTAGGGCAGAATAGGATGTCTGGATGATCTGATGGAGACAACTATCCATGCAGCTTTCAGACACATTATGCAGTAGTACTGGTTCCTTTTAAAACCCAGAGGCAGGAGAATGAAGAGAACTAACGTGTGTTATAATCCATCTGTCCCAGCAGTGATTTCTTCCTGACTCATGCTCTCCCACTACCCCTATCTCGTCACTAGTGTCTCTGTTCTCTTCCCACTTCTGTCCTTTTGTCTTCAAAATAGTCACCCACACGATCAACATCATCATTAGCATCACCAGGAACTGGTATTTGTAGACTATCAGTGTGTGCCAGACACGGTCACAATAACAGTTCTTCCTGCTGGGAAGAATGCTGTCAAATCCTGGTGTACTATGGGAGCAATGCTTTCTAATAGAGAAACAGGCAGATTTAACAAACTTTTTGAGATCTTGTGATTTTGCAAGTGAAGATAATTTTACTGGGACTTCTTATTAAAGTATTTGATGGAGACATTCGCAACACTATGTGGTATGTATAAAGAACAGAAAAGAACTTCAATAGTAATAAAAAACTAAGGGATCAAGCTATTCATGAAAGGAGTTGGAGAAAGGAAAACTGGTCAGGAAATTTGTTTAGACCCTACAGAAGCCAGCGTTCATTTAACCAGTGGTGGCTTTTAAAGTATATATATGCCAAATACTGTAAATTACAGAGGATAAGACAATGATAAAAGAAAAATAGTTGGCCAGAGACATCATGAATCCAGAGGAAAACTAAAGAAGATAGTAAAAATATGTTTTAGGGAAAGACATAGATGCAGAGGGAGTAATAATGAACAGAGAAATACATTCCTGTTCTCTAGATGGCAAGGACCATAGAGATGAGAGAGTGCAGAAGGATAGAGAGGACCCATTTAGGAGACAGGTGACAGAGAAGAGCCAGCCAGTAAGTAAGGGAGGGAATGGGGAGGTGATGGGGAAAATACACAAACCAGTGTGGGGAAAGGGACAAGTAGGCATCTGAGAGTTGGATGCACACTATAATTTTGATATATGTGGTCATTTTCAACCTGAAGGTTTAGAGAAATATAAAGTCTGAAGTGTTAACTATTTCTTTTGTCTAGCCAAGTGATAATGATGGGGGAGGGGAGTTATGGTCATTTGGAGGTTGCTCAATTTCTCCAGAATGAAAAACTCACAGAGTGAAGAATTAGAAAGGTCAACTAAACAGAGGATTGGACCACAACATGTTCTTCTCTGCCCAAATCATCAACTCTTTCCATAAAAAAACCTCAACACTTAACTAAGAAACATCAAAGAATAGGTATGCTTTCAGTAAGATGAAGAAAAAATATGGTACTAGTAGTGAGTTCACAGGGACCAGCCCACAAGGAGCCATTGCAATTCTATTTGCTTTCTGATCTGGAAAACTCTTGATCCTATTTTTATAGTGATCCTTAGTTATCATGACCACAACTGAGAGGTTGGATGAGTGAACCAAAAGCACAGTAAATAACATATTAAGACTAAGAAACTACTCATTACTACAAAACAGCGACTTTGTAAATATTTACATTTTTTAAAAGTTGAATTCATAGAAGCCGAGAGAGGAATGATGGCTGCCAGGGGTTGGCTGAGAAGGGGGAGAGGAGAGTGGACATGAAGATATTAGTCAAAGGGTACAAAGTTTTAGTTCCACAGGATGAATAAGTTCTGGAAATGTACTGTGTTGCACGGAGACTATAGTTAATAATAAAGAATTGTATACTTGAGAATTGCTAAGAGGGATCTTAAGTGTTCTCACCACAAAAAAATATGTGAGGTGAATCATTTCAAATTTTTGACAGATATGTAAAACATCTATCAAAACGCCATACTGTACACCATATATATAATTTCTATTTGCCCATTCTTCTTTAATAAAGCTGGGGCAAAAAAGACAATTATTCATACGTTGCAATTACCTGAGGATTAGTCTTATCCCTTCAGGGCTGGTCATTTGTGACATAGGGTATTTTTCTTTCCATTCTCCTTGTCATCCTACTTTATTGTCCTGGACTCACCTGTTATTTCTGGGAGTGGGGTAACTTCAAATATTTTATCCACTCACTTTACCTTACTCCTGCCACAAGTCAAGATAAGCACTCTGGGTAACAGAGAAAAGTAGAAGGTGGAATATAAGAACGTATACAGTGGGTTCCTGTACTTAAGGAATTGATAATCTAGTAGTGAAAGTAAGAAACATACATATAAACAGAACATAAAGCAGGATGGATTAAGTGTATGACAGGAAAATTAAAATAAGACACACTTATTACTGAAAGAATTAGAAAGTTTAGGGAAGAATTTTTTTTTACAGGGTTTAATGACAACTTGCTAAATTAGGTTAAATTTTTAACATTGTACAATCACTTTTTGACCCTTAATATAAGTACTCAAAATGAAATTACTATGGGAGAAATGTTCCCTTATTAGAAGAAGAATAATCATTAAACTGAATTTTCAAATCAGCCTAGATGTTT